TATAAAGTACCTATCAATTTACTCATTCGAGTGTAGAAATTTTTACACCTAACCTCAACATTGCGTAGATCAGTAAAAATAATATTTGCAATAATTAGTACAGTCACGTGTATAGTTTAGATTTAAACTCAGTAAAAAGTGTATCATTATATACATATATACTGTATGCATCTTATCGAGCGATTAGAGTACAAAGTTCCGCGGGACATTTGCTAGTACCGTAACCAAACACTGTTTCATGTTAAGTGTCATTTGTCGCGATCGCGGGAAGGATGGGTGGGTGCTTGCGTGTGCGCGCGCATTTTTGTGTCAAATGAATTTCCACGAATGCTTTATAAGATGCGTTCTCAAAACCTTCAATCGTAAATTACGAAAAATATTTAGCCATTGGTCGAATAGCTACCATATAAACTATGATGACGTCCAATCCGCGGTCAATTAGTATTCCACTAGTAGTCACTAATTTCTGGGGAATTTCGTCCAGTTCATACCACTTCACGTAGTTGAAACAAATCTCGTTCAGACGTTAATGAGGATGATGATAAATCCACATTATAATATGGTGGTGTAATAATCACCACGCCGGGAGTAATATAGCAATCATAAATATTCCATTTTAGCATGATGCGGTAAAATAGTAATTGAAAAATTTCCATACTTTAGAGGCTATATACACGTACAATTACGCAGAGAACTTCCCGATCTTCTAAGAAAACAAAGAATTCCAACAATAGCGGGGAAAAAATAGTCCAAAGACTTTAGAAATCTGCAAGTGGCAGCTGAAAGTGGCACGAAGCTGAACTACAAAGTTGCGATGTAAAATGTAATATGATATGCGCAGGCTATATACGCGACCGACTTATGCACGGTGTCTATAGTGCCATCGAGGTCTCCGACGTGTCTTTCTTTCGAATTTTTGTCACTGCCCTCTGGCGAGAAATATCGGAAGATTGTCTCGAGATGCGAAGCGCAGAGATCATAATTGACTGAGTTCCTACGTTATGAAACGTCGATATTGATCGTGTTTCCCAGAAGCATCGAGTGGAACAGTTTCTAACTAACCATGACGCAGCCAACACGGAGATAATTTAAGGGTACAAGATACATAATCGATAGATGGAAAGACACACGGCAGCCTCGGCAGATTGTAAAACTACGGCTGTGCGAGGTCATTGAAGCACGTTTCTCGGCCAGAAGTACGTGATTAGAAGAGATCCACGTACACGTCGACATATTTACCGGGATGGCAAGGGGCTTCCGCGATATAAGCGGCTGACATTCACTTCTAACGAACGCGTGTAGCACGTGGATAGAGGAAACGCACGCGTACACGATGCAACGAGACCCTTACGTAACTCTCTGCCCGCGTGCTTCAACGGTTAATTCACAAGCTTGCCGTTTCGGTTTCTCTCTCGCTCTTTCTTGCACACGCGAACACATCATCTCGCTTGCTCGTATTGCGTTACAAGTTCGATACCCTAGCCTCTTCGAGTCGCGTATTTTGTTACCAATTAGGGTTAAACCAATATGAAGGATTAATAAAAACCCCTAAAAAGATTAATTATGCGAAGAAAAAACGTTTATGCCGGGAAATGTGCGCAGTTAAGGTATCGAGTATGAGAGAAAAAATTTCTCGAGGTTGACAGGTAGAAGAAAATAACGAACGATCGCAAAATAGATTAAAAAATACGGAAGCGTGAATAATTGGGAAAAGCACGATGATACGTACCTATTTATAGTCATACTTGACGGCAGATAATATCATGGGGAAATATGTATTGCTTTATTTCTTCTCCACACAATAAACACGTACACTGTGAACTAAATTTCACTCGCGTGCACTTCACGAACACAAAATGCAAACGATTCGAACGAATATTCGGGGGTAAGATCATTTTTTCGATTCGTTTCGCGGAAGGAACGCGGTAGCGTCGTAACCGTTAGAAATTACATCGCGAGAACTGGCGCGTCTTCGATTATCGAAATTGGACCCTTCGAATTTCGATTATCGAAAGATGCGCGCGTCGCTCTAGGTGACGTCACAAGCGCGAATTTCAAATCGTACGTTTCTTACGAAAACGAATTACGTAGTTGATTTCAATTACAAATATTCGAAAATAACATGTGATTCATAAAGGGAATTATATCTAACCTTATTTTTGACTCGAATGACATTGATACGTGTTCTCGTAAGGTATAATCGTTTAAGGAACGAAATATACGTTGTATTTCCGTTTAACCAGTGCACATGTACGTAGTTTTGAAATCCGAACATCGTTTTCGTGTTATAAATGCTGACGATTGGATAAATAAGTGTTTCCACGATGTAATCCATAAACGACCAATAGCGTCTCTGTAGCACGTGGCACGTTTTGCACAGACACACGTGCTTTCTTACATAAGTATCACCTCGTGCTCGGATTAATACTCGTATATTTCCCAACGATAGTCACGACACGAAAACGTCCGAGCATTTTAACGAGCAAACGTAGAAACAAATTATTCCTAATTGCTTCGAAGTATGTATGTTATTGTATAAATAGGCGGATACGCAAGATCGATAATTCAATAGACACGATTACTGTCCGTAGGTCGTGGATTATCGCAAAAACCAGTCTTATATCCTTTCCAATAAATTATAACAAAATTGTTAAATCAAACGTTATCGCTCTCGACGTTTATCGCACCCAATTAACACGTTACGAGAATTGGTCGCGTAGTTCTTGAGCACATGACGACCGATCTGCGGAAACGATCGCACGAGCACTTACATAATTGTGCCGCGTGCCCGGGGCGAAGCTCACGCGTATGTCATCGTTACATCGCGAGCGTTTTAATATCGCAAACGTTGCACGAACTTCGCCATTTGCAACGGAACTGGCGGGAACGGTCAGGCGTCGCGCACCACCAAAATCAAATGAGCTGCTTTTATACATTGTCAAGGATCATTAAAAAATACTTGTCAGACTTTAAATTCCAAATTTAGACGATCTAAATAAATACAAACAAATTCGAAATAGCCCTAATCGTAACAAAGTGTCTAAAATAACAGTGCAATTGACTAGCATAGAATGACCACCATTCGAGCGGCAAACGTCGAGAATTTGAATGACAAGTACGTATCGATCGGTTTATTCGAACGATTGGATATTAATTCGAAAAGAGGGTTGGCAAATTTTCGACGAGCAACGTTCGCCGATAGGTTCACTGACACCTTCGACCTTGGGGAACAGCCCGACCTTACCCAAGGCTATTTTGCGACTTCTGCTCGACGTTGCCCGGACCGGTATTGTTGGCAGTGCGAGCACGTCTCTCGATCTCTCGGAATTCTTCACCTTTGGCCGCCCCGTGCCACTCTCCCGTATAACGGTCACGAAGCTTTACGAGAGAAGATACTCTCCCTGTTGTTGAGCATGATCTCCTGTCGCCACGCCCACGAGTGTTCGACAAAACGATCGTCCTCGAGGGCCCGAAATATGCGGCGTATCTGCAGCACGCCGCTGGCATCGGGAATCGCTGTATAAACGATTTAACGCGCTCACTGTGCAAACACGGCGTTAAGGCAATGATCTTCGGTGCACGCTCAGCGAATACAAATGGACTCCTGATGTATACAGAGTGTGCACCTTGAACGTACACTTAACGGCGCGTGACTATGCTACTTGGCAACTGTTCTCTTACCTCCGTGATTTTTCTTTTCGCAGTGTTTGCTTCCGTAGATAAGAAACATTGTAACCAAGTACATGTGCTATATAGCAGAGATAACTCCGCGTTAAGCCGACCGTTCGACTTGGTCAGTAGAACAAAGAGTATAATAGCCCGAGCTACTTGCGCTTTATTTAAATCGATCGGTGTACGTATGCATGGCGGAAGATCGATCGGCTAGGAGTCTCTAATTAGGCTAAGAACAAGTTACCTTGGTTATACGTGCATTTCGAAGACGCGTGATACGAGTGATTAGCCAGATGAATGAACAATCGTTCCAGGAAATTGTAATTACCGTCCAAGTGTTGTTCCACGTTGTATCAGCTATGACGATCGGTTTTCGTAAGTGTGCGTCATCGGATTAGCCAGCACGGTTTGATTACGGTTCTAATACGGCCTCTGTTATAGTTATTACGCGGTGTGTCACGAGGAAGGAATGATTACATTGAGTCACGTCGCGAATCGCGGTCGATCGAATTAGAGTTCCGCCGGTTCGAATCCGGAAAGGAAGGCTATTGTACGCGATCGGTATGGATCGTAATCTATACAACGGCATGCGTAATCAACGATCACGGAAAAATCGCGGCATAGGAGGTCAGCTATCGGTAGAAATCTCTGGAGATTGTTTTCCTTCTTCCTGATTCCGTATCGCGCGACCTTCTTTCGTAATTGTCCGTCACTCGGCTGTTGCGTGACACTACCGCACAAGGACTACATTTCGTACGTGGCTAGGATCGCAAACGTGCTCGCTAGACCACGGGTTTGCGTCACTTTGGATTAATAAACGTTCCTGATTGAAAAGCTGGAAGGTCGTCTGGTCCGAAAGAGGCAAACAACGCCAGTTCGAATAACACCGCGAGGTATTCGCCATTTTCGGTGCATTCCCGTTTACGAGCGACAATGTCGAAGCTGCGAAAAGGTGCAGACTCATCGGAAACGGAGAATTATTAAACGTAAATACACTCGCATCCTGGTCTATTCTCGTGGTCCGTGACTAGGCTGTCATGTCACCAGGCTATGCTCTTCGTCATCGCGATCGTTTGGCACGCAGCGCTACTTTCGTCACCGCCGTTAATAAACTCGTCGTCCCGTGTGTTGACTCGAGAATCGTTCTCCTTGCTATCTGACACTTAAACCGCCAGCATAACTCACGATCTTATTAATTCCGCCAGATTAATTCGCGCGCGTTCCACGCCAAACTTCCTATTCGCCCGGTTTCCAATGCGCAATCGTTGACCCCCTATCAGCAATGGTTTCTTTCGCTTGCTAATTCGCAACCCGTTTTTCCTTCGCAGATGTACTAAGAAGACAAATTATGGTGGCAGAAATTGTCGCCCGTCAGAGTGGATCGCCCATCAATGGTGAGACCGCGTGTCTGAACAGCAATATGCCGGCCACCCACACAATGGCGCACGCCGGTCACGGTGCCCACGGCCACGATGCCCATGGACCGTTGCCACCGCTGACGCATCCGGCGCATCATGGTGCCCCGCTGACACTACAGCAGCAACAGCAACACCAGCATCAACCCCAACACCAACCGCCGCCACCGCAGCAGCAACCACCGCAACACCACCATCATCATCAGCAGCAGCAGCAACAGACGCAGCAGCAGCAGCAGCCGCCACACCTCCACCACGACGCCCAACAGGTGACACACCCAGAAAATTTCCCCCCGAACTTCGACATCAGAAAAGAGCTATTTTCTCAGCGCAAGCAACGGGAGTTCATTCCGGACAACAAGAAGGACGACAGCTACTGGGACCGCAGGAGACGCAACAACGAGGCGGCCAAACGGTCTCGAGAGAAGAGGCGCTTCAACGACATGGTGCTCGAGCAGCGAGTAATGGAGCTGAGCAAGGAAAACCACATCCTGAAGGCGCAGCTCGAGGCGATACGGGATAAGTTTGGCATATGCGGCGAGTCCGTGATCAGCACGGAACACGTGCTCGCGGCGCTGCCCGCAGAACCGCCCATCAGCGTCAAGAGGGCGAAACTACCAGCCTCGGCGGCACTCCTGTACGCCAGAACCCCGAGTCCCGTGCACACCTCGGTGATCCATCAGCCAGTCAGCGGTGCACGATCGCCGAGGTCACCGGCACAGCTTTACGTCCCGGAAACCACCACGTACCCCGAAACCGAGAGCTTTCAATATCCCTATTCTCACCCCGCGATGCATCTCGACACGACGAGCGCTCTCAACCTGTCGCGTGGACGACGTGCCCAGTCGCCATTCGAGCTGTCATCGGGAAGCGGAGACGAGGGACCACAGTTGGTGGTCAGCTCGCAGAATCCAGCAGCTAACAACAGTCTGCCTCACAAGCTGAGGCACAAGTCCCGCATCGGCGACAAGGATGCGGCCAGCGCGCTACTAGCGCTGCAGGGTATCAAGCAAGAGCCAGGACCTAGGGCGTCTCCGCCATGGGACAACGAAGGTTCCAGCGACGAACGCGACTCGGGCATTTCCTTGGGGGCCGAATGGACCGGTCCAAGTGTGTCCACCGTTCCTGAGAGCGAGAGGGAGGTGAAGTCGAGGCTGGACCGTCTCGCCTCCGAAGTTGCCTCCCTTCAGTCGATACTCCGCATCGGGAAACCAGCGGAGAGCAGTCTGGTCACGGGTCACTCGTTGCCCGCCAACGCCACCGTCAATGGTCCGTGAAAGGGACCAGCGTGTCCTCTTCGTGGCTTTCTTGGAGCGAGCGCGCCGACTATCCAACACGTTACATCTTAAGCTGTACCAGGTTGAACGCGACCACGACCAAGACGACGACGAATCCTCGGGTCGGACACCGGGGTTAGAAAAGACTACTCGATCGTGTGCGCCAACGTTCCAACGTATGCGACCATGGTTAGTTGTTGTAGGAAGTAAGGAAGTAGCAGTCGGGTGATCGTCGCTTAATTTCGTTCTTTCGTGATGGATCCACGTCAAACGGGGGGCGGAGGGGTGATAAGGGGCCGGTGAGGGATGGAAGTGTACATTTTCTAGAACGGCTATTACCGACTTTGCAGTATTGCATCCGCGTGTACTTTGGTATCGGCCAATGTCGCGTGAAACAAATCATACACGGTTTTCTTATCAGTTAACTGTTAGAGATCGACTAGACGAGACGTGTGGAAAGAATGGCACGATAGTTTAATCGGGAGGAGGAAATTATTCGATTTTATTCGGTGAAATGCGAGGATCGGTCGAATCGACTGTCGGGTGCGTTTTTTTCTGTTGATCGGGGCGCGCCATTTCAATGGGGCACCCCTGACACTGTCCCACGGTATCGTAACGATGAGTTAGAGGATAAGGATGATGCGACATCCTAGGTTATAAGTAACTTATACTGTAAGACTTTCTTAGGCTACTTTCGTTTAATTATTATTATCATTGTTGTCACTAGCGAGATCATTTTGCTGATTCGAAAAGTCGTGCAGCGGCTAATCGGGTCGAGCGTTTGTTGGCTATTGTGCACTATACCCGAGCAACGTTCGAATAACTTCAAGGCTCGATATTCGATTCGTATCGTCCTTAACGGGCAGGGAAATCAGCTCGTTAACTCGAAGATCTTCGGACGATTCGTTTTTATTTATCCTCGTTGGGCGAAAATTCGAATAACATTACACGTGCGCGTCGCACGATTATTAAATTTCGAGAAAAGGAAAGGAAGGTATGCTAGAATTAATGACTTCGAAGGTCTTCTAATTAGCGGGTCCCGAGTTTCTCTCCGTGAAAAAAAAAAAAAAAA